TACAACTCCCCTTCCTAAAATTAAAAATAAGTCTTTTTTGAAAAGTAGAATTTGACTAGTCATGGAGGCTCACACCTTTAATCCAAGTATTCAAGAGGCAGGTGGATCTCTGTGAGTTCAAGGCCAACCTGGTCTATATAGTCAGTTCCAGGATAACCAGGGCTATGTAGAAAACCTGTCTTTTTCTTTCCTCTGCAGAAGTAAAATTTGATGGCAGAAATCTGACTGGCACCCTGGATTTTAGATGGTGGTTCTGATCTTCCTGTGTAAAATTTGATATGTAGTTTTTCAAAGAAACAAAGGACTGGGGGAGGAAAATTCATAACTTCTCACCTCTCTAAGCACAACTACATTACCACTAAAAATACTTTTGGGGGCTCAAAAAAGGAAAAATCAGTTGTCTCCAGTGGGGTGTCACTGGGTATATCAACCACACTGGTCCCATGCCCAGTAGTAGTTGGCCAACATAAAACTGTTATGGGTATCCACCAGAGAATACTATTTGGAAAAGGGTTTAAGCCAATAGGAAGTCTTAATTAGCAGGCTGTAGACTACACTGAGTATCCAGTATCCCAGTGTATCCCTGAGCTTTTCTCAGGGTGAGCTTTTAAGCACAAAAAAAAATCATGTTCTGGGTTGACAAGAATAGTTAGCCAGAAACATAACTACAGAAGCCAAAAAGCAAGGTTAGTGCACTTAGAAACTTCCACAGAACTATGGACTTTGATGAATTGGGCCTGTGTTTTAATTTTGGCAGATGGTGAAGTCTGTACATTGAGTTTTACAGCCTGACCTGTACTTCTATCATGGAGTCAGTTGTGCTAAGGTTCAGGGGCCTGTTTAAAAAAAAAAAAACAGAAAACAAAACAAAACAACAAAAAACAGACTCCATGTTTCTTTGGGCACTTTTTGTTTCATTTTATTTTGTTTTGGTACATTTCTTTTGTCATATTGGGTTTCTTGTCTCTTTGTTTTGATTTTCTTTTGGGCTTATTTTGAGAGAGAAAACATGAAGTTGGGTGGGTAGGAAAGGAGTTGGGAGGGGAAAGATTAAGATTGAAATATATTGTATGGAAATATAGAGAAACATCTTTTGGATAAACACATGGCTAATAAGAAATTATCTGTTAGCTTACTTTGTGTAGCTATAATGAGACCATGGACAAGCTAATTTAAAAAAAAAAAGAGAGAGAAAAGTACCTCTCAGTCCCAGAGGCTAGCAGGGTCTGCGGGCTGTGGTTCCGTGGCTGGTGAGGATGCTGTGCGGAATTACACATCTTGTTGCTGTGTCAGCTTGTGACCAAGCAGAAGGACGGGAGAGCAAATGATGCCAAACTTGTTTATAAGAAGTCAACCATCTTGTAATTAACCTATTTCCAGTGACAACAGTACCAGTGTCACCATCTCTCACACACTATTGCACTGGTGAGTGAGAGTTGTTTGTTTGTTTGGTACTAGGAATTGGAATTGAACCCAGGTCGTCACAAATGCTGTACCATGAAACTATATACCCAGTCCTGGAAATTAACTTGCTTTTGTGTGTGTGTGTGTGTGTGTGTGTGTGTGTGTGTGTGTGTGTGTGTGTGTGTGTGTGTGTGTGAAGTTTTATCTATAGCCCAGTCTGGCCTGGAACCCACTAGATATCCCAAGACTCAAAGTTATGGTGATCCTTCTGCCTCAACCTCCCAGGTACTGGAAATACAGGTGAGAAGCTCCAACCCAGGCTGCAGATTAAGTTCCTAATATGTAACTTGAGGGTACCAATTTAAACCGTCTCACCAACACTCCAAAACACCTGAAGAAATCTCTCAAATCTTTCACTGAGAGATTTCACTGAGAAATCTTAAAATATTTAAAAATTAAATTCTAGTTCTGCATAATCATTCCCAACATTTAGATGTGAAAAGAGCAAATCTCACTTCATTGTGTGAATCAAGTTTTTCACTATTACAGTGTTTTATACACTACAGAGGATTTGTAGATGTTCCTTCTCAAGTTGAGGAAGTTCCTTTGTGTTTCTGCTTTGGGGAGGTTTGTTTGTTTTAATGACAAGCGGACATTGGGTTTTGTCAAGTATTAGTTCATATCAAGGGAATTTTTCTTTTTTCAAGTGATTTTTCTTTTTTCAGCTGGTTAATAATAATGGATCACACTGATTAACTTTTGCTTATTAAGGTAGCCATGGGTCCCCGGGTCATGCTGTATTATTCATTTTTCATATCGCTGAAGGATATTTGTTCACACTTTAAGGAGTTTTGCATCTGTACTCCTGAGGATATTTTTCTATCATTTTCTATCTTTGTAATATCTCTTATCTAGTTTTGATATTAGAGTAATACTTACTTCACACAAGGAATTGGTATTTGCTCTTATCTAATTTAATAGTTGAAAAAGATTGTTCAGAACTGAATTGAGTTTTTAAACATTCAAGATTTCTCCAGTGAAACCATCTAGGCCTAGAGATTTCTGTCTTGGGAAATTTGAAATTGTATATTCAATTTCCTTTCAGGTTGTGGGCCAACTTAAATGAACTATTTCATACTGAGTAAGCTGTAGTAGTTGGTATATTTTGAGGAACCAGGGTGTTCCTACAAGGTGATACATTTATATGTTTAAGAGTGTGTAGTGTCTACAGTGTTATCCTCTTTTTAATAATTATAATTCATATATCCTCTTTTTGCTTTTCCTCATTAGTCTTGATAGAAGTTTGCCCACTTGGTTGTTTTAAAAGAATGATCTCTCATTTATATGTCCTATTTTTGTGTGTGTGTTTCAATTACAAAACCAATTTATTTTTTTCTTTATTATCTATTTTTTTAAATTGTAGTTTTCCTTTTCTGAGTTCTTGAGAATGGCATTTAGATCATTTCAGACTTTCCCCTCATCCCTTTTCATCCTAACCTCTGTCATGTAGTCTGATTACAGTAATACCTAGGGTATGGTTGGACTTAAAAATAGACATTTTGTTTCTGTTGCTCGTTTCTTGTTATATTTGCTCCTCTAGTTTCCATCTATTTATTTGTGGGTCAAGTATTTTAGACTATTATTTTAATTTTGATTTTAAAAATATTTTAGATATACACATGCATGTATGAGGGATGTATAAGGGTGTGTGTGTGTGTGTGTGTGTGTGTGTGTGTGTGTCAAAGTTGTGTCTGGAGGCCCAAGGATAATCTGTGGGAGTCCCTTTTCTTCTACCATTTGGGTCCTGGATGTTAAGCTCAGGTCACTAGGCTTAGAAGCAAATACCTTTATCCCCTGTTCTAGTGTCACTCTGTTGCTGTGACAAACACCAGGCCCAAACACAACTTAGGGAGCAAAGGCTTTATTTGGTTTATACTTCCAGGTAAGAGTTCATCATTGTGGGAAGTTAGGTCAGGAACTCAAGTAGGAACTCGAAGCAGAAACCATGAAAAAGCAGTTTGCTGCCTTGCTCATTGGCTCTGGTGGGGAGTGGTGCTGCTCACAGTGGGCTGGGCCCTCCTGCATCGATTCATAATCACGATAATCCTTCACAGGCCAATCTGATCTCAGCAATTCCTCAAGGAAACTTTCATCTCAGGTGGCTTTAAGTTGTCAAGTTGGCAACTGAAACTAGGAAAACCCTTAAGTTAATCAAGCATGGTTTTCTTTAGTTCTTTGAACAGCTGGCTGATAATTTCTTTGACGTCCTAGGCTCTAAATCCAATGGCTGGAACCATCAAAGCTTGTTTTTATTGTCTGTTGATTTTTTTCTTTCCTGTTAATCCCAATGTTTTATAATTTTCACTGCCAGTTAGATAATTCTAACAGTGTTAGTAACACCGGAAATTAGAGGGTATGTCCAGGAGGGTCTGGGTTCTTGAGTCCTGCTGTAGAGAATTCAACAGAGACATTTTGACAGTAGCAAGCAAACTATGAGAATCTAAAGAAGGATGGACTTCCAAAGGGGGAGGCAGGCTGGAGCAGGCTTAAAGTGTCATTATACAAAGGATCCAGGCTTTTCTGTGCATAATTTGTCTGCTATAGGAAGTACCACACATAGAACTTCATGTGGTACATGTCTGAGCCCCGTCTGGGGTGAGATTGTTTTGGGACACTCTGGAGTGCCTCTGGACCAGTGTCAGTGGTGAGAGCAGTTCAGCTGAGGAGTCCAGACTTCTCTTTGCCAGAGTGCTTTTTCCAAATGTCAGTTTTGTGCGGCTTTGCATAAGGCTGGCTGGGCCTTGCTCTCCACCCAACTGCCTGCCACATTAGCATCTCTGGATTCTGATTGAATTCTCCTTGCCCAAAGGCTTGTCATTGTTGATTTTGTTTGTTTGCTTAAGAACTTGCCTAGAGTAAATCTGGGTTTGTCTTATGGTGTATGGGAACAAATATCTCTGCTGTATTTATTCTTGGTTTTCTTTTCTTTTTAAAGCTGACTTTCTAGGAGTCACCCTGTATATTGGCCAGTGTTTACTAAATGATATGCTCAAATACAAAGATCCTGAAAGGCTTTTCTTCCTACTCACAGACCTGTGTGTACACTAGGTAATGTGGGCAAAGTTCAAGCTCTTTTCTTTTGTCCCTGTTTCTATGGATTCTCACATCTCTGTGTTGCTAGGCAGGAATGCATAGGTACCTCAGGCTCTCTCTAGTGTCTCCTCCACATATCTGCAGCTCTGTTTGGTCAGGAGCAAAGGGACAGTGTCAAGCCCACAAGGCCTCATTTCCTTCTAAGTTTGTCTGCCAAGGTCCTTGCTAATCTGCACTTGACTCGTTCCGGTTGGGATCAGACCCTCAGTCTGCTCAGATGATGTTAGAGTTTTCTCTTTTACTTTTAACACAACTTTTCTGCTTTCTCCACATTGGCCCAGTCTCCTGGCTTGTGCAGCTTGTCATGCACCCAAAAAACTGTCACGCCAATGGGCTTCTTTCATACAAGGACACTGTTGACAAAAAGTATGTGATTTTTACGATTCGTTTTTAAGCTATTACAAGCAGGAGTAAACAGAAATATAAACTTTGTATTTTTTCAGATATCAAGTTCCACCTACAAAGACAGGAATGAGGAATACAAACAGCAGTTTGCACACCTGCCGGACTCAGAGAAGCTGATAGCAGGTACTCAGAGACCTCCAGATGCAGACAAGCGTGGAAAAATCTACAGATGGAGAGACAGCTAGGGCTTTGTGCCAGAGAGGGAGATGTAGTTAGTGCTACTATTACTTATTACACTGTAAGGAAAGCAGTGCCATTTTTTTACAGTCAGACAAACTTAAGCTGGATGTAGCAACAGTGATTTCCTACCTGTGAGATGCTTTGTACTAATAAGAAACGTGCCCTCGTGGTATCTCCCAGTACTTCCATATATGGCTTTGTAATGAACATTTAGATTTGATATTCATCATCTAGTAACTCTGTTGAGAAAAATATACTTTTCAACAAGTGTACTGAGAGATTGGTTTAATAAGAATGTTCTAGGGATATTTAAGAATAAACCATTATTCCTAAATGGTATGGTTCATATAGAGTTTTTGTATGTGGTAAGTAGGCTTTGGGGTAGCAAACTTAGTCATTTTTATAACAGAAATGCTTTATTGTGTGTATTTGTGTATGTACATACATATATGTAGGTGCACTGGCATTTAGGTGTACATATGTGTAGGCAGCATTTCTGCCCCACCTGGTCGCACAGCCGTTTAGGCGCAAATAGACACACAGAGACTTATATTAAGTATAAACTGTTTGGCCAATGGCTCAGGCTTCTCACTGGCTAGCTCTCTTAATTATTCTGGTGGCTTTTCTCTGCCTTCCTCTCCACAACATTCCCCTTGACTGGTATCCCTGCCTATAACTCCTGCCTGGTTACTGGACGATCAGTATTTTATTCATCAACCAATAAGAGAAACACATACAGAAGGACACCATCCCCCATCACATGTGTGTGGAGGCCAGGGGCCAGTATTCAAAGTCTTCAAATGAATTCATCCTGTTTTGAGACAGGGTCTCTTTTTGAACCTGAAGTTCATCAGTTGGCTACATTCCTTCTGTCTTCTTCCTTGTTGCTAGTAATTCATCTTTCATACATTTTTTTCAGTGTGTTTATTTTTTAAAAAGTTATATATTTGCATTTTCTTTTAACAGTAAAAATGTTTAATGTAGATATTCTAGAAACTGATATAAAGGGGAGAGTGGCTACACAGGCAACTTTTGGGGGTGTTGGGATGGATCTGTGTCTTTTTGAACCTGAAGTTCATCAGTTGGCTACATTCCTTCTGTCTTCTTCCTTGTTGCTAGTAATTTATCTTTCATACATTTTTTTCAGTGTTTATTTTTTAAAAAGTTATATATTTGCATTTTCTTGAACAGTAAAAATGTTTAATGTAGATATTCTAGAAACTGATATAAAGGGGAGAGTGGCTACACAGGCAACTTTTGGGGGTGTTGGGATGGATCTGTGTCGTGTTTGGGTTGTAGTTACATGACTGTTCGTTGGTCATGTGGTTTTTGGGTGGTAGTTCATGACTGTTCATTGGTCATGTGGTTTTTGGGTGGTGGTTCATGACTGTTCATTGGTCATGTGGTTTTTGGGTGGTGGTTACATGACTTCATTGGTCATGTGGTTTTTGGGTGGTGATTACATGACTGTTCATTGGCCACATCTTTTCTGAGGTCGTTTAAAAAATATATAATAACCAATGTATCAGGACATTCCAGGATAGAATGCTAATCGTAACAATGAAACTAATTGTGTCATAAATGAGTGCAATGATTCCATCAAGAGTGGTTTGGTATTTATAGTTGCCCTTTGGTACATCAGGAGGCTGGGTCCAGGAAGTCCCCTCAGATACCAAGGTCCATGGATACTCAAGTGTAGGCCAAATTTCTCATCAGGACCACAGTCAGCTCTGTTCCTCCAGCTGTTTTCCAAGTAACCACTCAGAGACTATTATTCAGTATAAATTATTGGCCAATAGCTCAGGCTTATTACTAACTAACTCTTACAATTTAAATTAACCATTTCTATTCATTTTATGCTACCCCAAGGCTCATGGCTTTTACCTCTCCTACATGACCTGCTTCCTTGCCATCTGGCTGTTGACTCCTCTGACTCCACCCTCCTTCTTCCCAGCATTCTCTCTGCCCCAAACATCCTTCCTAGCCATCGGCCAATCAGCTTTTTATTAACAATTGACAGCAATACATATTTTGAGTATACACAGCACTTAAGCCCTTATGTAAAATAGCACATTGTTTACATAGAACCCAAGCACATTCTTTTGTGTGCTTAAAGTCATCTTTGGATTACTATTAATGGCTCACACAATGTAAATGATATATATGCAAATGGTTGTTATATGTATTGATTAGGGAATAGTGGCCTGAAAAAAAAAAAAAAAAACTGTGCTTGTTCAGTATAGATGTAGTTCTTTAAAAAAGAACTTTAAATGTACCTTTGTGATTTAAACTGAGAAGATAGAATCCATGGCTGTGGAGGGCTGACTCCAACTCTCTATTCCCTATCTCTGTCTGCTGAGACTCTAGCAGCAAGGAACATGTGTACAGTCCACTCTTCCTGAAGAAACTGCTGAAGCAGTGTGGTGGTTTGAATAGGAATGGCTCTCTTAGACTCTTAGGTTTGAATGTTTAGCCCATAGGGAGTGGCACTGTTAGGAGGTGTGGCTTTTTGAAGTAGGTGTGACCTTGTTGGAAGAAGTGTGTTACTGTGGGAGCAGGCTTTGGGGTCTCACATGCTCAAGCTACATCGAGTACAGACTCCTTCTGCTGTCTACAGATCAAGATGTAGACCTCTCAGCTTCTTCTCTAGCACCATGTCTGTCTGCATGCTGCCATGTTTCTCCCTATGATGATAATGGACTAAACCTCTAAACTGTAAACCTGCCCCAATTAAATGTTTTCCTTTATAAGAGTTTTAGTGGTCATGGTGTCTCTTCACAGCAATAAAACTCTAAGACAAATAGTAACAACCAGTGTGGATGGAGCATGTTATTGTTATAGTACCAACAGTCGGTTAAGAAAATAAAAACAGGCAACAAGTTGAAATATCTGCCGATGCTCAAAGTTAATATATCTTATGCAACAAAATAACAATGATTTGGGCTAACAACCTGAAGAATCAAATAAATATCCATGAGTCCATATTGCTATGAATAAATGCTTGAATAATTAAGTAATTATGGAGACGGAACAATCTTCCAGAATCCTAAGCATATTTACGTAGTTTATATGCTTGCTAAAATTTTAAGTTTCAGAAGTTTAGGGACTGGAGAGATGGCTCCGCTGGTGAAGTGTCTGCTGGAAAAAGCACAAGGACCTGAGCTTGGATCCTAAAACCTGTTAAAAAAAAAAAAAAACAAAGCCATGTGCAGTGACTGCTTGCCTGTGACCCCAGTGTGGGGACGAGCAGGGACAGGAAAAGCAGTGAAGCTGGTGGCCAGCTATCCTAGATAACCCAATGAACTTCAGCTTCAGTGAGAGACCCTGTCTCAAAAACTGAGATGGATCAGCATTTAAGAGCACTTGCTCCTCTCCCAGAGGACCCAGGTTCAAGTCCCAGCAGCCACATAGCAGCTCGCAACTGTCTGTAACTCCAGTTCCCTGAGACCCAACACTCTCACCCAGACATGCATGCAGGTGAAAGACCACTGTACATAAAATAAAAATAAAACACAGAAGCTGAAGATTAATCATTTGGATTTGGCAAACGAGAGGTCATTAGCGCCTGAGGAGGGGGCAGCAGTGGCAGTGGCTGTGATCATGGCACTAAGTGCACAGCAACAGTTAATGTCTACCCCACCCTTATTCTCCAGGCCTGTGGCCAAGAAGGGTCTCTGAAGTACTTTAACAGACCCCTGAACACTGATAAAGCTAACTTAACTAACACTAATCCCTGCCTAGCAGCGTCTGATATGCTGATGGATAAAGTACTAGTGTCACCAGTGTAAACCAACATTTGCAGCTGAATGCTGACAATCACATTTTAAAGGCTTATGGCCTCCTCTGATGTAGTCCTTGTGACTAGATTGTCAGTCTATTTATCACAAGCATAAGTGCAAACAGCTATTTCTAACTATCCAGTAGAAAAATTTCCCCATCTAAGTACTAACTAGGCCCAGCCCTGCTTATTTGGAAAATCAAGTGCTTTTGCAGTGGTATAGCCATAGACGCCTTTGAAAATTTTCAAATGTCTGCATTAGCCTGGCTTTTTTTTTTTTTTTTTTTTTACTTTTATTTTGTTTTGCTTTTGTTTTTGATTTTTTTGGTTTTTTGAGACAGGGTTTCTCTGTGTAATAGCCCTACCTGTCATGGAACTCTCTCTGTAGACCAGGCTGGCCTCGAACTCACAGATCCATCTGCCTCTCCTCCCATGTGCTGGGATTAAAGGCATGCGCCGCCACCATCACCTTGAGATGTTTTTACTCTTAATACTCATTTGGGCCTTTTCTTTTTTCTTTACTAATCTTAATTTTTGTTAAATTCTTTGTTAAATTCTATAACTACATTTGAGCCAGTAATTCTGCTTGTAAAGACTGATACTATGGGATATATCAATTCTCTCTATGCTTCTGGCTCACCATTAGTATAGCTAGAGTGGGTCAGGGCTAGGGCATGGAGAGTCAAGCCATGGTTGACATGATTAAAAGACTGATACTTGGCAGACGTGGTAGCATGTATCTTTAATCCTAGCACTCAGGAGGCAGAGACAGGTGGATTCCTCTGAGTTTGAGGCCAACCAGCGGTACGCAGACACTGTCTCAAAAAAAAGTAGAAAGAAAAAAAGAAAAGAGTTGGGTAGGTATTGCAATGTATTGAAGCTGGGCAGTGGTGGCGCACACCTTTAGTGCCAACACTGAGGAGGCAGAGATAGGAGGATCTCTATGAGTTTGAGCCCAGCCTGGTCTACAAAGCGAGTTCCAGTACAGCCAGGGATATTACACAGAGAAAACCTGTCTTGAAAAACAGCAACAAAGAAAGAAGGAAAGGAAAAGAAAGAAATGCATTGAAACCTAACCTATGTTGTATGTGCATGTGGGTTTTACTTGCATGTATGTCATCATGTGTGTGCTTGGTGCCAGCAGAGGTCAGAAAAGGGCATCAAATCGCCTCAACTGGGGTTACAGATGGTTGTGAATTGTTCTGTGGGTGCTGGGAACAGAACCCAGGACCTCTGCAAGTGCAACAAGTACTCTTAACCACTGAGCCATCTCTCCAGCCCCTCACTCTTTAGGTTTTAGTAGACAGAAGTCTGTCTAGTCTGCCCAGATGTATTCACAGATAGTTGTTGTAGTCAACTGTGAAGTAACAGATGGTCCAAATTACACAATGGAAAACTTAAATGTCGTCCCCCCCCCCCCGCCACTCTTTTAAAGTTATTTTAGCCTTGGAATGCTTTGGGTCTGAGTGGCAGGCTAGGCTGGTATGAGGAAGACTGTGTATGAGAAGAATGTGTACTATGTAGCCTATGGTTGTGAATGAAAGACTAGACTTTAAACAGTGGGAGTGGTGTGCGTATACCTCTGCTTACCCAGGAGCACTCTTGCCTGTGTGTGGGAAGGTGGCAAGAGGCATGCTGATGGACCCATCTCATGGGCCATTTTCTATGCAGTGACAAAACACCCGAGATAGTCAGCTTGGAAGAGAAAGGAAGACTTACTTTGGTGTTGCTGGAGTTTATGTCCCTCCATGTCCCACCTGTTTTCAGCCCCATATAAATACACGGCCACTATATTAATTATAAAAGTGTCGGTCGATGGCTAGGGTTTCTTATTGGCTAGATCTGTCTTAACTACTAACCCATTTCTATAAATCTATGTCTTTCCACATGGCCTTGGCTTGTTGGAGAATGCCTGAACCTGTTACTCCTTTGGAGCTACATGGTGTCTCCTTGCCACATCTCTCTGCCTCCTCCCTCTTCCTCTCGTTGCCACGCCTATACTTCCCACCTGGCTACTGATCCATCAGTGTTTTATTCATCAACCAATAAGAGAAACATATATACACAGAAGGACATCCCCATCATTTTGACTCATGGTTTCACATGGTCCCATCCGTGGTCTGTGTCACCATTGCGTTAAAGCCTCGTTGAGAGACTGTGTGGTAGAACAGAAGCTACCACTTCCCAGCGACCCAATCTCCTCCCAGTAGAACCCCCTAGTTCATGGGTTCAATCACCTCCAAGAAGTGCTATGGGCTGGGAACTAAGCCTTGAACACGTAGCCTTTGGATGACCTGTATGATTTCAAACGCACTACCCTCCAATTCTTGCATGTCAAAAGATTTCTACCCTGTGACACTAACATTCACACCAGAGGCTGCACTCTCTTCATGTGGTCCCACAATTTCTGTTTTTCTTATATAAAACCTGGGCTGGTGCTGCCCGTGTTTGGGGAGGAGGTGAGTGTGGCTAAGGTCTGCTGTAGGAGCCTGTTAGTCCATTACCGTGTGTCTGTCTCTGTTGTAAACTTACCTCTCTGTGCAGATATGGAGAATGAAACACACCCTCTGCTGCAGCCTTCTCCTGTGCACTTTGGAGCCAAGGCTTTGTTCATTGCTTTTGTTCATTCATTTTATTTGAGGGTTTATTCATCAGCATCTGCTTCCTCTCTTCTAAAACCATATACAATCTTTTAGTCCACTAAGCTTCCTCCCCACCCTCAGCACTGTTTTGAATTTGAGTGATTAGATGTCTTCTTTGTCATCTCAAAAGAAGCTTGTGGAAGGGGAAGGAAAGAAACACTTCTCTAACTATAACCCTTTCAACTTACACCAGTTCTACACACTGCTTATCTCTTTTCTTTCTTTTCCTTCTTTCTTTCCTTCCTTCCTTTCTTTTAAAGTAATGGTATTTATACTCTTACCCCTTTGAAAGAATTGTTTGGGAGACTGTTCTTTGTCTTGGTGATGTTATTGCTCAAAATTTATTTTTGATTTCTCTGATTATCTAAGTGAACAAGTTTGAGGTTCAAATGGGATAATGCTGTATTGAGGGCATATAATCCACTACAAAAATCTCTTGCCAACCTAGACCATCTCTGCACAAAGGCAAAAGAAAATGCTTTCTCTCTTGCGTGTGATGTAATATAATGCCTTTGCTATGTGCTTATTTATTTATTTTTCTTGACCACATTTTTAAGCAATTTTACTGTGGTCTATGTTTATCATGATAGCACACATTTCAGGAAAGCCACATTTAGAAGTTACTGAAAAGTCTATCAACGTATACCGAATATTCTTCTGTTAAAACATTGCAGGTGTGTGTTATAACTTTCAGTACAGCTAGCATAAAACAGTGCAGGTGATGAACAGCATAGCAAGGCGGGCACCATCTGACAGCGCCTGACACTCTCCCCTTGACCTTGCCCCAGACCTATTTAATCAGAACTGTGGGGGACGACTGGCACTCTGTGTTATCACAGGTATTTCTGAAGTCTGAGAAGCACTGGATAATAAAAATGTTTCAGTGGTTAAGATAAAAATGTCATGGCACCTGAAGATGACCTTTAACCCAATCTGTCTGGGAGACAGATGCGAGTGAACAAGCAACCCAATCTGCTCAGTTATTTACTGGGACTTTTTGTTTGGTGGTATCTCAGTTTTTGTTTGTTTGTTTACATTTCCCTGAAGGAAGCAGTATGAAAGGTTGACTACCTTGCTCAGTTGTTAGTGTTTGCCTAGAACTTTAACACAACTATGGTTAAATATTTTTAGGCTTATTCAAGGTTTTTGTTGGATTTTGTTTGCTGTGTTTGAGGCAGGCTCTAATTATGGAGCCCTGGCTGTCCTAGAACTCCCTATGTCGAGCTGGCCTTGGACTCATGGACTTCCACCTGCCTCTCCTTCCTGAGTGCTGGGATTAAAGGTGTAAAACACCATGCCTGACAGCTTTTATTTTAAAACAAACAAATTTTCTGATGCAGTTTTAAAATTTAGTAGTTAATGGAATCACCCTACAGAAACTCTTCATATCTTGTGTTGTCAGTAGTTTGGCCTCATGGTTCAAATTAGGCACGGGGCTGGATCTCAATCGCAGAGGCCTGATATTTGTGCTGGTTAGTTTTTTACCAACTTTACAAAGAGTCATCTGGGAAGAGAGACTCTAGTGAAGAACTGTCCGTGTCAAACTGGCCTGTAGAAATGTCTGTGGGCATTTTCTTGATTCATGGTTGATATGAAAGGGCTTAGCTCACTGTGGGTGATGCTGACTCTAGGTAGGTGGTTTGGGTTGGATAAGAAAGCAAGCTGAGCACAGCATGGAGAGTGAGCCAGGAAACAGTGATCTTGTAATGGTTTCTGCTCCAGGTCCTGCCATGACAGTAGACTGTGACGTGGAACTGTGAGTCAGATAAGCCCTTCCTCTTCTCCCAAGTTTCTTTGGGTCATAGTGTGTATCACAACCGAAAGCAAACTCTTTCCTCTTCAGCTGCTCAGACAAAATAGCTTGATAAAAGCAGCTCATAGTTCCAGGTTATTTCCATCACAATGAGGAGCTGGTTACCTCACATCCATACTCAGGAACAAGAGTCATGAATGCATGCCCGCATTTGCTCAGTACTCTCTCCCCTACAAGGGCTAGGACTGAAACCCAGGGAACAGTGCTACCCACAAAGGTCTAGTCTTCTCACCTTAGCTAACATCATCAAGATAATTCCCTAAACCACACCCATAGGCCAATCCAACCTAGACAGTCTCTCATTGAGACTCTTTCCTTAGGTAAATTGTCAATTAAAACTATCACAATGGCATTATTAACTTGTTTGGTAGGCAGTAACATAGTTTCTTCTTCTTCCTCCTCCCCCTCCTTCTTCCTTCTTCTTAACAGAAGACTTGATTTTACAAGATTTTAATGTTGATGTGGATAGGATCAGCCTTGAAACGGAAATCAATTGTACACACACACACACACACACACACACACACACACACACACACACACACACAAGCTTGTGCACAAGCACTTTTGCTGGGGATACAAGCCAGGGCTTTGAGGATGCTAACCATATGTGCTAGCTTCATACAGCTTTCTGATCATTCTCTTATTCTTACCCAACATCAAATCAATCATCAGTTCCCATTAGTGCTATTTTCTAAATGTCTTTGAATCTTAATATTTTTAGTCAACTTTTCCCAAGATGTGTAGTTAACTTAGCAGAATCTAGGGAGGAAGCCCTGAGTGAATGAGTTATTATACTGGTAAGGGGAAGGTACAGAGAGAACATTATCAGGGAACGACTTCCCTGAATAAGTGTTCTTAAAAAAAAAATCCAAAGATCCGATTGGGGTGATGGTGGCATATGCCTTTAATCCCAGTATTCAGGAGGCAGGGCAGACAGATCTCTGTGAGTGCAAGGCCAGCCTCAAAAGACAGAATGGGGGGGGGGCAGGGGCTAAAGTAGTATAAGGTTTATACAGTTGTCATATTTTTGTGAATAACCTTCTCATTTTTGTCTGTATAGATTATGCTTGTGCCCTTCAGAGGGATATTTTGCTTCAGGGGAGGCTGTACCTTTCAGAAAACTGGCTGTGTTTCTATAGCAACATCTTCAGATGGGAAACTACAGTAAGATATGTTTGCATTTGATTTGTTCATAGAAATAATTGCATAGTCAGAAATACACACAGTACTCTTAAAAGCAGTGTATTGAGGATGATTCCAAAGTGAAATCATATGTATTTGTATATATTTATATAAGCATAACGTGTTTATACATGTGTAAATGTGCAATGTATTTTCCTAATTTCAATACCCCATTTGTACTTACTACAAATAGGTTGGAAGGGCTTGACTGCCAAAGTCATGGTTACTTGACAAACTGTCTACATTGTGTAGAGCACAGATGTGGAGCCTGAACTCCCATGTGTCTTTCCCACCCAGCCCTAACATTAGATCCTGGGCTCTATGGGCAGAATGCTGAAGGGAGTGTGTCCTAATGCTGCCCTCGACTTTCATAGAGAACAGAACATGGACTTGTGAACTCTTAAAGCAGGCCTTTCAGCCTGCTAATACTCTGGATTAGATGGAGGTAACACTTGGTATTTAGGGTTGTATATGCTTCTGAAAATACACATTTCAGTTCTTAAAAAGTATTTTTGTATGTGTGTGTATGTTTAGATTTCCATTGCTTTAAAGAATATAACCTTTATGACCAAGGAGAAGACTGCTAGACTCATCCCAAATGCTATCCAGATCATCACAGAGGGCGAAAAGGTGAGGGACTTCTCTGTCGTTGCTGTATTAATAACAGGGAGAACCTGTCTCACTCACGCTGATAGTCACTGAAGCTATAGGGTCTTGTGGAGACATGGGACATTCAATACCAGGTTCCTCTATGTTTAAATGGTTACTATTTGCATAGGAGAAAGAGGGCAGGAGGGAGATGTGAATGGACAGTGGGAGACGACTAAGACAAAAGGTAATTATTCATGTATGAAATTGTCACAATTAAATCCATTTCTTTGCATGCTAATTAAAATAAAGAAATTCAAAAGACAGGTTGTGTATACAATACTGGAGATTGCTGTCATGTATCCTCTACAAAGAATATCTATTGATTAACTGAGCGTGGTGGGTCATGCCTTTAATCCTCAGGGGGTAGAGGTGGGAGGATCTCTGAGTTCAAGTCCAGCCTAGTCTACAGTGGGAGTCCCAGGACAGCCAGGGCTAACACAGAGAAAACATGTCTTGACGTGCCCCCCACCCAAATATATATATTGATTGAGAGGTCTCAGCTTAATGCATTGAAAAATCTGTCTGTGAAAATATTAATACCCAACTCATTGTGTGAAATTTTCTTAGTCACTCCAGGATAGAACTAGCTTTCTCCTCCCTGTAGATAAGCACTCTGCCTCTGTGATAGGTGGTCACTGACAAGGCCAATGGAAGAGATGACCCAATGGGATACTCCATTCAAGGATTCCTCTTGCTGCATTTTCTCATCGAAGTCAACTTTAAACATATGACTTTACAAAAATAGCTAAATGTAGAGAAACCTATAGGGCTGAAAACAGACGGAGAATTACAGATGGAACATTCTATCGTTTTCTATAATATCAGAGGCCTTGGAATTTAACTTGAGTGTTTTATGTTCAGAGATCCAACATTTTTGGAGTATTTTTAACACTTGAAAACATTGTGTAACTTAAATTCATATTGTTAATATATACAGTTCTGAAATCCACTTGTATTCTTGGTTTATATGTGGCTCAACTGACAGGCTCATATTGCAAAGTTCAGAATAAAAAGCTGTCATTTTTTTTCTATAAATTTACTTATATTAATTTGATAAAGTTAGGATAAACACAAACAGCTGCCTAGTTTTATCTCATTTCCCTAGAAAACAGGAACAACATTGTGTTTTATACTACTTTACAGAGTAGGGTTTATGAAGAAATCTCATTTATGCAACAATTCTTTGTTTTTCCTTTAACACAGAGGTAAGTGAAAACAGCATGGTGAGTGGGTAGTGATTGGTTTTAGTCAACAGGACCCCATGCTCTTCCCAATAGAACTTCGACGTGGAAAGCACAAGCTGAATAAACCCTTTCCTCAATGATAAGTTGCTTTGATCATGGTGCTTCGTCACAACAGTAGAAAACCTAAAATACTAAGTGTATTTTGTTTATCAAATGTGTGTGTGTGTGTCTGTAATTTTCACAGTGCTTAATTCATCTCCTTATTTTTCTTTGCAGTTTTTCTTTACGTCTTTCGGTGCCAGAGACAGAAGTTATCTAAGCATATTTAGGTTGTGGCAGAATGTATTATTAGATAAGGTAAGTGTTCATTCCAGAGGCATGTTGTAAGAAGGCACACTAGGGGCTAATGTGTACCTAAGTAGAATTTGTATAGATCCTTTCTTATTTCCAAGAGTCTAACTTTTTTTTGTTTTGTTTTATGTTTGTTCTTTAAGACAGGGTTTCTCTGTGTAATTAGTCCTGGCTGTCCTGGAACTAGCTTGAATTTATAGAGATCATAGAGTTGGGTATTAATATTTTCACAGACAGATTTTTCAATGCATTAAGCTGAGACCTCTCAATATATAAATATATATATATATATATATATATATATATATATATATATTTGGGGGGGGCACCTGTGTTAGCTCTGGCTGTCCTGGGACTCGCACTGTAGACCAGGCTGGACTTGAACTCAGAGATCCTCCCACCTCTACCCCCTGAGGATTAAAGGCATGGCCCACCATGCTCAGTTTAATCAATAGATATTCTTTGTAGAGGATACATGATAGCAATCTCCTGCCTCTGCCTCTGCCTCCTGAGTGATGGGATAAAAGGTGTGTGCTACCACCATCCAGCTAGCTATTCAGGTTCTTAAAGGAAAAGATCTATAGTTATTTTGGGGTTATTTCTTACACTTTAAAAAAAAATTGAAGAGTTGGGTATGATGGCACACATTTTTAATCCCAGCACTCAATGGGCAGAGGCAAGAGGATCTCTGTGAGTTTCAGGCCAGCCTGGTCTACAGATAAAGTTCCAGGACAGCTAGAGCTACATAGTGACACTTGATCAAAAAGACACTACCCAACACCCAATAAAAAGAAAAGGATAGAAAGAAAGGAAGGAAGAAAATTTAAAAACTGGTCACTTGCTGCTAAGCCTGTTGCCCTGAATTAAAAAAATAACTAAATGTAATAAAAATGTGAATTAGCAGATTTTTATTAAAAAGGGTTTTTGTAGTGGGTGCATGCATAAAAATGTATGCATGCAGAGGCCTGAGGGGGATGTCTGATACCTTCCTTAGCCACCTCACTGCTTTCACTGCTCCAGAAGTTGACTGTTGTGGTTAGGCTGGCTGGTCAGCACAGAGATGTATGTCTGTCTCCATCTCCCAGGACTGGAGCTGTAGGTATGTGCAGCCATTTCTGGCATTTTGTGGGGGTGCTTGGGATTCAAACTTGGTTCTCATACTCATCCAGCAAGCATTTTTTATCTACTGAGCCGTCTTCCCAGACTCTTAATTGTTCCTGTGGTTGAATCTAGAGCTTCCCCTATGTACCAGTGAGCTCCATCCTCATCCCTATAGTTGTGTTAATGTGATAATTGAAATCCCTTGGATACTGACCAAGAAAACATTAGTAAAAGAAGCACTAATGGAAGTAAAATGATAGCTAGAAAATAGATATGTGTTTAACACAGAAGTCAATATTGGAACACATTTGATAAACAAAATACACTCAGAGTTTCAATTCCTGTGATGAAACACCATGATCAAAGCAACTTGGGGGGGAAAGGATTTATTCAACTTACAGGTCCACATCACAGTTCATTATCAAAGAAAGTCAGGACAGGGACTCAAGCAGGGCAGGAACTTAGAGGCAGAATTGATGCAGAGGCTATGGAGGGATGTTGCTTACTGACTTGCTCTTCATGGCTTGCTCAGCCTGCTTTCTTGTAGAAACCAGGATCACCAGTCCAGAGATGGTACCACCCACAGTAGGCTGGGACCTTGCCCACCAATCACTAATTAAGAAAATGCCCTACAGGTTTATCTACAGCTGGATCTTAGGGGGGGTATTCTCTCAACTGAGGCCCCTTCCTCTCTGATGTCTCTAGCTTGTGTTAAATTGACACAAAACTGGCCAGTACACTTCCTAAAATGATTTTACTAGATAATGCACAAATTCTTATATACCTATAAAGGAAACAACAGTACAATCAAGATCCAAAGACTAAAGGAATACAACCAAATACACAATTTAACTATGTGTTAATTAAATTCAAAGAACAAATACTTTGTAAGCGAAAGAAGGAAATAATATTACATGCAAACAGAGAACAATGTTGACAAGTAATACCTGACAAGGTAGTAAAGATGGAGGTTTCTTCCTGGTCCTGCAGCCGCCTTGCCCCAAATAAATACATGACGCTATAATAATTATGAAACTGTTGGCCGAGGGCTATGTTTTCTTACTGGCTAGTTTTCTCTTAATTATTAACCAATAACTACTAATCTATGTATTTCTACATGGCCTTATCTTACCAGAGAATGCCTGGCAAATCCTATCTTCCAAAGTCTCTAAATGGAGTCTCTTTCTGGCAGCCACTCTCTTCCTCTCCCCAGAATTCTCCTCGTCTCAAAATCTTGCCTATACTTCCTGTCTGGCTATTGGCCAATCAGTGTTTTACTCATCAACCAGTAAGAGAAACATATATATAGAAGGACATTCCCCCATCAAGGTACTTTAAAACTAAAGTGGAAAGACAGAAGTGCCTTTGTATTGGTAGAAGGGCCAAATTATCTATAATTCATAAAAATCATAAGGGCATATGTACCTAGTAACAGAGCCCTAAAGTGTATAAAGAAAAAATTTACAGAATTGATGGAAGGAATAAACAATTTAGCAATAATAGCTGAATTCAAAAACTCCTCGTTCAATGATGGGAACAACTGGGCAGAATTCCACAGTAAACAGAAGAACACTACAAACTAACTAGGACCAAAGAACACCTATGAGATCTACCTAACAACAGCAGATATACATTTTTCTCAAAGGCTTATGTATATTCTCCAGAACAGACCATAATACTGGATTATACAACAAGCCTCAATACAGTCAAAAGAACTAAAGTAATGGAAAATGTATTCTCTGATCACAGTGGAATGAAATTAGGAACCAGAGGTTCACTAGAAAGTGAAAGTTAAATAGAACATTCCTAAAGAGCCACTGGGGAAAAGAAGAAATCACAAGGGAAATTAAGAAAAAACTCCTTTCACAAGCTAAATGAAAACAAAACTATACCAAATCTCATGGGACACAGCTAAAGCAGCATTTAGAAGGGAAATTATAACTGTGAACACTTGTTATAGATTTAAAAAGGCTGATCTTGAATCAATAACCTACTTTAGGCTTTATGAAATTAGAAAAAGGAGAGCATATAAACTCCATAAGAGCAGAATCAAAGAAATATAAACATGGGGGCAGAAACGAATAAAACAGAGAATAGTGAAATGGCCATCCATAGAATGAAAAGTTTTCTTGGGAAAATATTTTAAAAATCAACAAACTTTACTCGATCTATCAAGAGGAGAGGAGATAGAGTAGTGGTGCATGCCTATGATTCTGATACTGAGGGTGCTGGAGCAGGAGATTCCAGAGTTCAAGGCCAGCCTGGGGTACGTTATGAAGACACTGTCTCATCAAAGCAAAGAAATAGGAAGCAAAACAAACCTGGAGCTAAGACTGAAGTGACTGAACTTATAAGTGAAAAAAGACCATTTTAAAAGTTTAACATTTATTGTTTACTTATTGTGTGTGTGTGTGTGTGTGTGTGTGTGTGTGTGTGTGTGTGTATGATGACTTATGTGTTCTTGGTTCACATGTGTGAAGAACTACCATCTTCGTATTACTTGAGCTTGTCAAACCACTGTCTTTAGCACTAGACATGTAACACTATTTCAAGTAGGCATTAGCTCTTATTTAATAACAATAGTGGCCATTCCTGCTCTGTAATGAGACAAGAAACAATGTTTAAACATATATTTTAAGTACTACTTGAAACTGTCCTAACTAGAATCTCTCAAAAATATTATTTTATTTTAAGTGTATGGGTGTTTTGCCTGAACATATGTCTGTGTGCACCACATGCATGCCTGGTGCCCTTGGGGACTAGAAGAGGGTACCAGATCCCTTGGAACTGGAGCTACAGGTGGTTGTGAGTTGCCATGTAGGTGTTGGGAATCACATCTGGCTCCTCAGTAAGAACAGCCAATGCTCTTAACTGCTGAGCCATCTCTCTAGCTTGTAGAGTCTCTCTTTTTTAAAAGGTTTATTTTCTAAAATTTATTTGCCTCTGCATGAATGTATGTGATTTATGAGTGTGCAGGAACTGTGGGGGCCGGAAGAGGATATCAGATTCCCTGGAAATGGAGGTACAGGCAGTTGTGAACTACCATGGGTGATGGAAACTAAATCTAGTCACTGTGCAAGAGCAGTTAAGTGCATCTAACCACTAAGCCATCTTTCCAACTGTAGAAGTTCCCTAGAATAGAAACTAGAAGTAGGGCCAAGGAGAGGGTTCAATGAGTAAAGTACTCGCTATGCAAGGATGAGGACGCAGTTTTGGACCTTCAGTACCCAGATAAACACAGGTGTACACTGCTCACCTAGAATCCCATTGCTGAGGAGGCAGAGATAGGGGCACCCTGGGACTTGCTGGTCAGAGCCAGTCTTGCTGAACCAGTGAACTCCAGGTTCACTGACAGACTCTGGCTCAAAAAAAAAAAAAAAAAAAAAATGTATGTGTGTGTGTATGTATGTATATGGTGAGTAAGTAGTTGAGGAGGACATTCCAATATCAACAACTATCCTGCAGACATGCCTGCACAGGCAAGCTCACGCATATGCATGATTGTCACACACACACACACACACAGCCCCACACTCCCACACACACACAAAACTAAAAAGGTGGGGCGGAAGACATAGCTTAGTGCCAGAGTACCTGGCTTTAACAGGGCCTTAGGTTTGATTTGGGCACTGGGGGAGTGAAGCATAGAGAGACGGAGAGAACAAACTAGAAAAACAGAAAGCTACCTTTCTGTGTTTCATTAGTGAATTTTGAAAATCAACAATAAAAAAATACTAAACAATAATGGTAACGACCATGAATGAAGTTAATAGATGCTAGGCACAACGCTGGGTAACAGGTATAGTGTTGATATTTTACAGGCCCCACTTGACTTCTAGAACCTTCCCTGCATTCCTTCCTGCTTTTAGACTAGACACTGCTATGTAGCCCAGACTAACCTTGAA